AGATGGATAGATGTATGTACGGAATATAACCTAACATTATATTAATTAACCTTATCACTGAAGAAAGAGATAATGAGAAAAACTAAAAGAAAAAAAAAGACTGGCCCGAGCCCGGGATTGAACCGGGGACCTCGCGTATTAAAGATGTTCAGGGTTGACCCCCTAAACGCGAATCATTCCACTAGACCACCCGGGCAGTTGATANCTATGCCTATATGAGGGAAGGCTTAATATTTCTGAATGGATCAATCCAATTTTGGTCTGTTCTTCTATAGAGTAATCCCTCCCATCGCTCTAACAACCAGAAGGGCACCTCCAATGCTACCATCTAAAACGCTACCTCTATCGGTGGACATACGTAATATCCCCAGCCGCGAAGACCAGTTAAACCTTGTATTGCGTGGTCCCAGCATCTAATAGCCCAATATATATAGTAGCTTAATCTAAGAAGTATATCCAAACACCTTCTGTTTAGAAATTGTACAGTGTTTCTCCCAATCCATAAACTTAAGTATTACTATCCTAATACCAGACACCTTAACCAATAACAGTAGAACACCAATACTACTTCCGCTAAACATAGGAATGGGATTCGATCACGCCAGGTGCAAGTCTCACCCCCGCCCACAGAGACCTAAGAAGAGCGGGACGTTGAGGATGAGCTTACGCGACTCTCGATATTTATTAACACCACACCCTTCGAATATTCATGGCCCTCGATGATAAGCTTATTTCTATCACACAAACACCGCAGCCTTCCACTGCGGTGGCATTGTAATGGACCCACTAGGTAGAGATCAAATCAAGGCTTAAAAAGATGGAGCAAAATATCGCCTGCGTAATCGTAGAAGAGTGTTGTATTGACAAGCGCAAGAAGACAAGTTCCAAATAGCGGAAGGAGCCAGCAACGAAGGAATGGGAACTCGTTCGGTGAGCCTTAACCCAGGCAGGTTGATACTACCCAGGTTCCTTGCCTGACAGTATCCAAGTCGACCTCGTAGTTAACAAGTTGTCCACCAGCTAGAGTGTCATAATATTGTTTACAGGTAGAAATGTTACAACGGGGTTCCGTCATTTTACGACTTCAGCGTGTCCTCTTCTACCTCAGCTCCCGAGGGGTGTGCTGGGCGGCGTCCGGGGCTGAACATCACTAGGAAGGAGCGGACTAGCCCAATAAACCAACAAGGACAAAAAGAAACGAAAAGAAAAGGATAGAGTAACAGGAGCAAAAACATGCAATTGGTCAGTCTACCTAAAACGCAGCTCTAAAGCCATTAAGCAGCATATTTATTCAACTCAATAGAACTTTCATTGTAGTATGTTAGGTTCCTGGCCCTGCGCTGATGTAGAATGAGCAGCAAAAATTTTATCTGAAAAAGCCACCAGTAGGCTCGCATCATGAGAATCTGTTGTCCTCCATGTGCTGTTGCGCGACTTTCAATTCTTTCAGTTTTGCAATTCGAAACGAAATAGTTTTATCATCAAAAATGACACCTCCATCTCTCGGATAATCGCTCAGATTACAGCCGTTCTTGGCAAACTGTGACCATAATCGGGAAATATTAGGCTGTCGAGTGACCTGGGTTCGTTCCACAGGTTCCCAATACCCACGGTTGCCGCATCCGTTCCCAGCGCCATCCTTTGTGCTCCCACAAACAAGATACGGAATCAAGAGTGTTGGTCGAACCGCAATCGTCCACTTCGCTTCCACTAGTTTTGTCTGTGGGCAAGTTGGACATTTTACTTCGATCTCATCGGGGAGGGTCCCCCGCTCCGCCTCAGTGCGGAGGAGCCAAGTACTCGGTTTCCGAGCTCGTCGAGCGTTAACCTTGTCAAGCGCTTCCTTACTAACTCGACCCACAACTGCTGCAGACCAGCGCACCTGATCATCAAACGGTTTGAGGGAAGCGTATAAAAACCCACAGCCGGTGTTTCCGCAGCCGCCTGCAACTGCCCACGATACATAAATGCTGGGGTTATACTTGGACCAGTATGGAAATGGGTCATCCAGGACTTGCTGGTTACACCCACTGCATCTTAGTGGAAGGATATCAAACGGCGCCTCACGAAAAACAACCAATTCATCCATGTGTGGTCGTCGATGTCGGGATATTAGCCTGCCGTATGCAAAAAGCACCGACATGGCTAGGTTACCGATTCCCAATGCCTTCGGAGAATCGCTCCATCCTGGGACAAAACTGTGGAGTAAATTATAGGCCCTTTCTAGATCTTCCCGAGAATTTAACGGGTTTGTGTTGAACCTGAGACCCGGCTGGTCATGAACAAGTGCTGTTATTTCCTCCGGCAAGTCCTGCCACTCGCCAACATCTTCCATATCGTCTATTGAGGCCAGGGAGGATTCGACGTTTTCGGCAGCTATTTCACTGGACACCACCATGGATCCGGATCCCTCAATGATCTCTTTCAATGCCCCCCAGAAAGAACTGATAATCTGGAGGCGGCGGTGGCGCTATCAAGTGTCAGTAATTAAAATCTCCTAGTTCAGCAACTAGATTGTTGGGCGAATAATACCTGGGTCTTGTCTGTAACTTCAACCTCGGTTGGGTCAATTGAAGCGTCAGATTCCCGAAGACGCCCATCCACATGGACTTCGCCTATGATAAACTGGTTCATGAGTGAAGCAATATCATCAAGACTCTTTAGGTCTCGCCCTCGCGGACCACGTATCCGATGAGACTTTTGCTGCGATAGTACTGCAGAGGGAAAGGCACATTGTAGCTGTGCTGCTGCATCTCCCTTCCAGCCTTCCCTCTCCATAGTCACCTTATGTGGTACAGTTAGATTCACACGTAGTTTGGGGCTAAGTTCGTAGAACCGGGCTTCAATATGGATTTGACCCAATTTGGCGGCAACCTCTAGAGCCAGGTCCTGGGGCCTTCCTTGTTTGCGTCGTAGGTTCCTAGCGCAATCTTTGTCACTTTGAATGTAGAAAAAGTATGAGGGGTGTTTCACAAATAGCACGAATCGCTTCATTGACTTTTTGTTTGGGGTGAGCTCCAACAACACCTCGATACCGCTAAAGCGGCCCCAAAGCTTCAAAACCTCAAAGTTCTGAAACCAACCAGTTTTCTTCGAAGTACCCAGTAGACGCCTTCGAACAGCTGATCCCCAGCATATCACCACAACTGCTCGCATATTGTCCCAAATCTCCCTCAAGAATCTCTCATGAATCTGCCAAAGATCCTCGGGGTAAATGGCCTCGACATTTTGGCTTATGTCTCTTCTAGCCACTTGGTCGACAAATAAAGTATTTTTGAGGTTGAATCCGGCTCGTTCCATTTGAGATATTGTCGCATTTGATGTGTCAAAGGTCTCTCTGAGACAAGGATCTTTGACAGAAAACGTGGGATTGAACAAAATGCAAGCCAACGAAGCATCTAACGAGCCGCTTGGACGAACAATGTACTCTTCGGGTCGTTCGACATTTTTAGTCCTCCACCATGCAATGTCATCGTTCACCAGTCGCTGGTGCGCAGAATCCATGTCCCAAGGATGTCTATTAGCTAGATCCCAATATATGTCAGCCTGACTAGATCCATACCATGCAGTCTTAGGATAGATACTCACCGGAGGGGACTTGCTCGAAGTCGCGCATGAGTGAAATTGCTCGATCCGCCAGTGGCTGATCTTCCGGGAGTAAGCATCTTTCAGGGTCGGGAACATAGAGAGCCCCGAACAAATGAAATGTCTCCGGCTGGGGCTCCATGCTGAGGAGATTTGGGATTCAGAATTGGCTACTACTGACTGTGATATTTGGCGAGTCTTTGAGAAAGGATCTTATCGTAAGAAAGATATTGAAGTCTCCGCCCACGGGAGAGAGGAAAAGGGAGGAGAAACCAAATTCTTACAGCTGCTAGCTTTGGTGGGGGGTAATCATTGATTATTCAATCTCTGCAGAGCAAGTCATTTATACCTTATAATCCAACAAACAAGCGCTAGCAAACACATCCATGGGGGATGGGATCACTCAACACAAATTACATGCACCTAGGTATGTATCTACTACTTGAACAGCAAGGTCTCTGGGGCCTTGCGACCTTAGCCTACTAACCAAAAAATGACTGAGCTAAAGAATAAAGTAAAAGATATAGAAAGAGGGAAGTGAGAAAAACAAATTAGGAGATTGGCGTTGCGTATGTGTACTAGTACCTAATAGTGAGAGGGAAACCCGATTCCGTCAACAATTAAAAGGGCACTCCCTTTTTCATCAATCGCCCGGGTGGTCTAGTGGGTAAGAAGCTCTTCAG